GAGCTCCGCGGCCCAGAAGTCGCCGCCGACGGCCGGCAGGAGCGCCGCGAGCTGCGCGTAGAACAAAACGTACCGCTCCGTCAGCCCGACGATCGCAAAGTTCTCGTCGAGGGCCGTCGTCGCGCGCTCCGCGGCGGCCCGCGCGACGTCGGCGGACATGTTCCCGTGGAAGGACTGGTTCCGGCCCGGCGCGCCGACGCGCTTGAGCACGTTGTCGTAGACGGGCCTCCCCGCCGCCTTGGCGACCAGTCGCGCGGCGACGTCCGCGGCGGCGGACGTCGCGTTCATCTTCTTGTACTTTTTGTTCCCCGTGTAGAGCAGGCCGGAGATGCGCCCATCGAGCGGATCGCGCAGGCACGTGACGTAGATCGTCGGACGGGGGGTTTGGAAGGTGTTGTACCAGACGTGGCCCGCGACGACGTCGAGGCTCGACCCGATGGCCTGGGGCCGGCCGTTGCGCGTGCAGACCTTGCCGGAGCCGCCGCGGCGCTTCACCGCGAGGCTCCGCGCGAAGCTTTCGAGCGTGAGCCGGCGGCGGCGGCACGTGCCCGCGGTCGCGAAGCCGCACGAGAGACGCGCGCCGCGGCGCCGCGCGCACCAGGCCTTGAGCGTCGCGCGCGTCGTCGACCCGGCGCTCTTGAAGATGTGCACGAAGACGAGCATGGGCGCGGGCCGATCGGCGGTGCCGTTGCAGAGCGCCGGCGCCGCGGCCCAGGCCCGCTCCTGCGTGAGCGGGCCGCTGCTGTTCATGGCGGCACAAGCGCCGTGGAGCAAAGCTACAAACGCCATGGTCCACACGTGCTTGCGACGTCGCGCGGCCCGAAGCATCATCTAGGGGCGGAGCTCGAGCGCGCCCGCGCCAGCTCTACGACCAGTTTTTGATGAGCGAGCGCTCGGCCTCCAATAAATTGCTGCCACTGGAATTAGCTCTTTTTATCCTCAGAATCCTCCTCGCTCGAGGACCAGGAGGCGTCAGCCATACAACAAACTGCGGATATGCGCCGTGTCTCCCATGGCAGAAGGAGCGAAACCGTCAATCGGGGCGCGCTCCGCGGGCATCGCGGCGTGGGCTGCCCAACTTTGGGAGCGCGCATCTTGGGGCGAGAGAGACATGATAAGACAAAAACTGGGAGATTTGATTCGGAGGAACTCGGGAACGGGCCAGACGCTGTTGGCGCTGGCCCATAAGGTGCTTCGAGGAGGGAAAGGAAGTTTTTACTTCTTCGCGAGGCATTTCAACAGGCCGAGTAGCCTCCAGTTCGAGGAGGCCTTCGGGAGCACATGGCTTAGGTACGCGCTCTTATCGCAGTAGTAGCGGGGGGGGGGTAGCGTCGGCGGTATAGCTTGTCATCGCCGTGGTCCGTAGCCTCGCGCCGTCGACGGAACGCGCGCGCGCGTCCGCGGCGGAGGTCTACTTGTCCTTGCACTTGTCGCCCTTCCACTTGCACGTCTTCTTGTTCGCCTTGCACTCATCCTTGGTCTTGAGTTTCTTGCACTTCGGGGTCGACGACTTGTCCTTGCACTTGTCGCCCTTCCACTTGCACGTCTTCTTGTTCGCCTTGCACTCGTCCTCGCTCTTGAGTTTCTTGCACTTCGGGGCTTTGACGCTGTCGCCGACGGGCTGCGTCTGCACGGGCGCCGTCGTGGTCGCTGGCGGCGCCGTCGTGGTCGCTGGCGGCGCCGTCGTGGTCGCTGGCGGCGCCG